TTCTCTCTTAACTCTTGCGTGTATTGGATCCATGTATATAAATAAATACGTAAATACTTTTCTGGTGAATTGCACGAGAGATAATAAATCCATACGATGGGATGGATCGGTGTTGACTAACAACGAAATTTCTGATCTTTTACTATTTTTCTTTTTTTTCTATCAATATTCTTTCTTTATATATTTATATATATATATATATATATATATATATATATATATATATATATATATATATATATATATGTATATAATAAGGACAGACATTTTATTTTTCTTTTCTTTTTTTCTTAAATTCCAAACTAGAAAGTGCATATGAATATGCGTGCTTACGTATATGTGCAAGAGAGAAAGAGAGAGAGAGAGAGAGAGAGAGAGAGATTGAGATATTAGAAAAAACTAATTATAACGTGATTTACCTTTTCGATCGTCGATGAAAATGTTAAATAAACTTCGGTAGAAAAGTTGCGTGGTAGGTTCGTAAGTAATATACATGTGAAAGTTTTGTCGTTAAACGGAGCAACGTGAAAGTTCTGTTGATTTATTTCGTTTCTTTTTTCTTTTTTTTTCTTTTTTTTTCCTTCTTCTTCTTCTTCTTCTTTGATTTCTTTTCTTTTTTTGTTTTTTGTTTTTTTTTTTGTTTTTCTTTTTTTTTTTTTTTTTTCTTTTTCGTTCAACAACGGGATATCTATTCCCGAAGATATGAAATTTTCGTGAGAAACACGATCACAATCGAAGAGGTTTATACGTCCGTGTAGACGCATACACATATTCATTCATATGTATATGCGAAATACGTCATTGAACGGGAACCGAGTCAGTCGGTAGCAGGTACAAATTATCTTTGCAACTATGTCCGCCAGACTGACCATTAAGCGTACGACAAGGGGTAATCATCAACATCCTTCAAAGGGTATATATATATATATATATATATATATATATATATACATATATATATACGAAGCTACAAAGATCGGATCGGATCGGATCGAAAATGCGAGCATGGTTTAAAACAAGTGTGGCGTTCTAAGGACTCGTAAATAAGGACGAAGTCTCATTTTTATCTCTTAAGGGACAAGAGAGGAATCTGTGCCGATCGGCTTTTTCTTTTTTTTTGATTCACGGGATAATAAATATATGGGGGAAATATGGGGAAAGAGAAAACTTCAAGGGTTGATGCATGCAACGTTACATTTTCATCCCTTCTCTCTCTCTCTCTCTCTCTCTCTCTTTCTCTGTTTCTCTCTTACCAGTAAAATTCTCTCGATACCAGTAAAGTTTTTAATGATAGATTATTTTCCACGCGAACGTGAATCAATTTTTGTCTCTTTCATCCCTTCTTCTTCTTCTTCTTCTTCTTCTATGTCTTCTTTTTCTCTTTTGTTCGTTTTCTTCTTTCTTTCTTATTTTCTTTTTCTTTTCTTTTTTTGTTTGTTTGTTTTTTTTTTTGTTCTCTTCGTTCTCTCCCAATAGCAATAAAGATTTTAATGACGGATTATTTTCACGCAATACGGGAATCAATTTTTACGTCTCATATTTCGTTTCTCGTATAATTGATATACCTACTCTGATCTCTCGCATTAACAACGATCGAAAGAGAGAAACCGACGTCGTTCGATCTTCCGAGGATGCAAATCGACGAACGATTTTGTATAAACGATGTCGCAAAAAAAAAAAAATAAAAAAGGAAGAAACAACAAAAAAAAGACAGAAAAATAAAGAAGAAAAAAATTGATTCTCATTTAAGGAAAAAAAAAAAAAAAAAAAAAAAAAAGAATAAAAATCTTTGGATCCGATCGTTTCGAATCCAACAACAACCAAGAGATACGTATTTTTATATATTTTACGTTTTCTCGTGATTTCTTTTCTCTTCTTTTCTCTTCTCTTCTCTTTTCTGTTCCTTTTTCCTTCTTTTTCTCTTTCTTTCTTTTTCTTTTTTTTTTCTTTTTTTTTTTCTTTTTTTTCTTTCGTTCACACTCTTTTATTTCCTTCTCGTTATATCGCGTCTGGAGAAGGCTAAAGGATAATCGATATCGTTCCCGTAACGCAACTTCGATGAACGCAACTCTCGCGGAATCGTTTCAAGGATTTTCGAGTGCGCGCACTTACATGGAGATAAGGAAAATTAAATCCTATTAAGTCGTTGTTATCGTAATTACGATCGCGCTCGAACTAGCCTTATTGAGAAAGGAGCCAATGCCTGTGCTTTGGATTCTCTCTTTTTATCTCTCTCTCTCTCTCTCTCTCTCTCTCTCTCTCTCTTTCTCTCTCTTTCTTACACACACAGAGAAAGAGAGAGAGAGAGAGACACGTACGCACATATAATTCACAATTTCATTATTTATACGATTAAACATGCCCACTTGAATTTTCCTCAATTTCTAATAATACTTAAAAATTTTTCTAACACTTGTCTATTTTAGATATCAACAGATATCGGAATTACATGTAACACGAAACGCATTCAATCGTGTTTTTCTTTTCCTTTTTCTTTTTCCGAGAAAATTTTATAAACGGACATAGATGAATAAACGTCGAGGTGAAGAAAATATCGATTCCGTCGTTCGATCGATCTTACTTTCTTTCTTTTTTCTTTTTTTGTTCTGTTTTGTTTGCTCCTTCCTTTTTTTTTTTTTTTCTTCTTTTTGATTCATTCCCCTTAACCTATCTCCTCGACCTTGGCAAATCAAGGAGGAGAGAGAGAGTGAAAGAGAGAGAGAGAGAGAGAGAGAGAGAGAATCTTCAGGGCACGAGAAAAAGGTCCTGATATACCTGTAATTTCGACAGCATTTGCCCGAAATCTTCTTTCGGCCCGGGCGTGTGTTTCCCTAAGCACGAGAGAGATTTCGAGAGGGAATCGGTAGCGCTTCTGTGTGCGCCCGTAATAACCGAGATTTCTTCGCGATTTCGTGGAACATCTGTGTAATTTGCGTGCGGAATGATGAGAGGGAATAGCCCCTTAGGGTGTCTCGCTGTGATCGACTTGCCCCCGTCGATGATCTTCCAGTTTTCGTGAATCCAAACTTACCCGGGGTCTCATTTCATTCTTTTTTCTTTTTCCCTTTCCCTCCCCCCACTCCTCTTTCTCTATTCCTTTTTTTGCTATCTCTCTTCTTGCTTTCTCCCTTTCTTTCTTTCTTTCTTTCTTTCTTTCTTTCTTTCTTTCTTTCTTTCTTATATTTCCGGATACATTAAACTCTCTTACGATTTTTTGTTCATTCCTTTTTCTTCCTCCAAATGTCATATATTAAGAAAGAATCGTCGTAATCGTTTTTGGAAGAACACGGATAAATAGATAAATAGATAGATAGATAGATAGATAGATAGATAGATAAATAGATAGATAGATGAACAGAGAGAGAGAGAGAGAGAGAGAGAGAAAGACTCTCAACGATCTCTCGCAACAAGTGAAAGGTGGATATATTATTTTTAGAAACTCTATAGAGATACGAACATTTTACTCTAACAACGTTCAAACTATCTAGACGCCATTATAAGAACGTAATTCTTTGCGATTACGTGGAAGGCGATAAGAGGAGGAAACGATTCACGGTGAGAACGAATCGTTCTCACGTAGGATTAATGTTTCTTCTATTCTATCTTCGACGATGTCCTTTTGTTGTTATTTCTTATAAAGAGAATGACGAATAGGAGTAAGAATAATAATAAGAAGAAGAAGAAGAAGAAGAAAAAAAATGAAGAAAAAGAAAATGGAAAAAAAGAAAAAGAAAAAAATGATAACGATTACGACGATGACAACGATGACGACGATGATGATAATGATGATGATGATGATGAATGTCATGGATTCATAATTATTTGCATGATATCTATAACAGGATAAACTCGATGACCACTTTAAATCCGTCACATTTGATCGCGTTAATTATATGCACACATATATACATATATATATATATATATATATATATATATATATATTTCATATACACATATTACCATAATTACGAATTTATACGAACCAAGAAGATCTTATCTCGCTGGTAAAATTGGAATGGAAATTTGTTTGGCTCTGGTTACTCTAATGGATATTAATAGTCTTAGTCTCATCTCAACGACGCACGAAAAGATCGAGTACTTCTTATTTTACTTACTTATTTAATCATTACTAATGGGAATAACGAAGCGGAGGAGGAAGGTAAACGAAAGGGGGATGGGGGGGTGGGGAAGGCGTAAAATTGAATTGAAAATAATGCGTAATGATGTTAAACGATAATGCAATTAATCGATATGTGAATACCGATAACGATCCTATCATTCACACGGATACAAAGTAAATTAATCTAATGCGTAAATGCCTGATCATAATCGATGACGATAATGCCATACTGGTCATTTTTTTGCTTTTTTTTCTTTCTATATATCTCTCTCTCTCTCTCTCTCTCTCTATCTCTCGCTCTGTTTGTCTGTTTGTTTGTCTATGTCTTTGTATCTCTGTCTCTCTTTACGAGCGATTAGCTCGTTATACCGGTCACGGCAATTTCCATAATCTTCTCACGGATGTGTTATGAGGTCAGATCGGCAATTCATCGTTTTGCCCTCGTTTCTAACGCATGTTTCGTTATGTTTTTTCTCTCTCTCTTTTTTTTCTTCTTCTTCTTTTTTTCCTATCTTGCTAAATAATCAACTTTCATATATGCGTCAAAGTGAATATAAAGTAATCAAATATTTATAGGAACTTTGAATTACATATATACATATAATATATATATAATATATAATATATATAATATATATATATAATATATAATATATATAATATATATATATATAATATATATTGATCGTTAATATTAGTCTTGTGTTTTAAGACGAATCGATGATTATCTTGAGAGTGACTATTATAGAAGATTTCTTACCCGACTTAATGGATTTTAATTCGATCCTCTTCTTTCCTTGACAATAATTAATCGTTTTACTCGAATGATCACGTGTATCTACATCCTTTTATCTTGTTTTTTTTCTCTTCTTTTCAGAGAAGAACTCGCTATGAAGATCGGCCTGACAGAAGCAAGGATACAGGTTAGTCGAATCAATATATATATATATATATATACATATATACACGCTTCTAATCTTCTAAATAACATGAGATAAAATACCAATGAAAAAGAAAAGAAAAAATACATCGGTAATTTTTTTACGAACGAAGAATACGAAGGGATCTCGTAGAATTTGAATAGAGAAAAATAAAAAAAGAAAAAAAAATAATAATAATAATAAGAAGAAAAAGAAATTCTAATTCAAAGTTACAAGAATTGGATTCGATCATTTCGAAAAGCTTTTGACATTTCGTTTCGTTCCTAATCGCACCTATCTAATCAATAGTACGTAAGTACGTACCCGATTGCGTTTGTCTTGCCGCGTGTGAGAGTTAGAGTTAGAATTATGCGAGGAAATAACTTAACTGACACGAGTTCATCGCGCGACTACTTCCATTAAGTATACGTACCTATAAATACGTATATATGAATATATGTATGTATATATATACATATATATATATATATATATGACTACATAAACGTACACGCGCACAAACTAATTTGTAGATTTACTCGCGCCTACCTAAGAACACGCGATCGCGAACTATGATAAAAGTTCCTTTTGTGTCGTGTCTTACCGGGAAGGACTATTAATTCGCCTAGTGGCAAATAGATTACATAAATTTCCGCGAGATTTACATGACGTTGTTTTCCGTTGAACGATTCAATGGAATTACGTATACTATTCTGCTTAATAACTTTAATAAATGATATGTTATCTCTATTATTGAATAACACATTCAAACACATATAATCGAAATTTTTATACAATTTAAATTCAACTGTTGGAACATTTAATAAATGATTATAGGAATGGCATAGGAAAAGCACGAATCCTTTTCTTACATCAATGACACTCTAACTGTCGTGAGAGAGAGAAGGAAAAAGAGAAAGAGAGAGAGAGAGAAAGAGAGAGAGAAAGGGAAAACGTGTTTACTCGTTGCGTGAACGACCAGCTAATTTGCTCAATTAGTTTAATTTATTCCCGGTATTTACTTGCCCCCTTTTTCCGACTCCTTTCGACGCCACACTTCGACTTTCCGTTTCATTTCTTTGCGTATATCTTTTTCTCTCTCTCTCTCTCTCTCTGTCTTTTCCACCCCCCACCCTACCCTCCCGGCTACTCTCCAATAGTTTTGTTTTTTTCTTTTTTTTCTTTCTTTCTTTCTTCCTCATATAGATATTATATATACACACACACACACATACACACACACACACATACACACACACATATATATTTATTATATATTTTTTTTTGTTTATTTTTACGGTAACATCTGACAGGTCTTACACGTGTATTCCTTATCCTAAGAGAACGTACATACGTATATAAAAAAGTATATAGAAAAATCGAAGGCTATCAAATGATCCATGCTATATATATAAATATATATATATATATAATATATCTATTTATCTATTTGTCTATCTGTCTATCTATCTGTATATATAATATATAATATATATGTATTATGTAGCGATGAGAACCACTGTTCAACGTAAATGACACGGTACCACGGCTCACAGCTGCGTTAATCATTTTCAGGAATCTCTGAATGGATAGAATGCACACACGTTTAAACCTATCTCGTATATACATACATACATAAAAAATACATACGTACATGAATACATACATACATATATACATATGTTCGTACGTATGCACTAACCATAAGTTCGACTCACCAAGGAAAAGGTGTTTCTCGTCCTCGAGCAGAAGTATAATGACTTCTTACATGATTATTCGCGTGGGCTCTCTCGCTTCGTAACTCCCACGCGAATTACTAGCGCGCGAAATATAAACTTATTTTTCTCTCCGCTCATTTATTTTCTGATCCTTTTTCTCTTGTTTGTTTTTCTTTCTTTTTGTTTTTTTTCTTTCTTTTTCGTGGGGGTTTTTTTTCTCTCTTTTTTTGTGCGCATTCTTCTTTTTTCCCCTTGTCCGTCATATATTTCTCTTTCTTTTTTTGCCTCCCACCCAGCCGCGCACTTTTTTGAAACGCGTTTCATCGACAGTAAATTAATATTTATTTTTTTCTATCTGCTTGAATCTCTCTCTCTCTCTCTCTCTCTCTCTCTTTCTCTCTTCCTCTCTCTCTCTTTTTCTTGTTCACCTTTTCGTTTTTTGATCGACTCGAAATAAAAATAAGTTGAATATGAGCTAATCGAATGGAACGAAAAAAACAACAACCAAAAAATAAAAAAGAATAAACAACAGGAATCAAATTCCAAAATGAAATTTTTCACTTCCTTTCTTATCCGTTGCGATAATAGTATATCCTTGATTCACCCCCGCACTCCCCATTCTCCCTCCCTCTCTCTCTCTCTCTCTCTCTCTCTATCTCTCTCTCTTATTAACTCGGCTCCTTCTGAGTTACGTAAAAGTGCAAATCGAATTACGAATCTGGCCCAAGCGGATGCTTGCGGATAACCGTAGCCGTCGGTCTCGGCGCGTGCGGTTTCCACTAGGAAGGGGATTACGTCACTCTTTGTTCAAGAGGGAAAAAAAAGAAAAAAAAAGAAAGAAAGAAAGAAAAGAAACAAATAAGACCAAGCGCAATAATTAGTTGCACCGTGCGTAAACGATTAGAAACGAGGTGTTATGATGTTATTTCTTTTTTTTTTTTTTCTTCTTCTTCTCCTTCTTTTTTCTCTTTTTTTCTCTCACATTTTTTTTCCCTATTTTCTATCGCGTTTTAAGCGCCCACTTTTATTTAATTGCACATTCTCTCTTCTCTCATTCATATATATATATATATATTTTTTTTTTATTAATATATATACATAATATAATTAATTTGATTATATAATTATATTAACAATATTAATTATACACAATAATATAATTAAATAATATCATCCCGAGAAAAAATTCACCCTTCGAGTCATATAACCATTAAAGTTTATGAGTTGGTATCTTCGTCGTAGCGGGGTTCGGGGAGTGGGGAGAGTCGATGTCTGGCGGAGGGCGTGTAAGGGACGATGGGAATGGAGCATATAAGGATGATGCCGTGTACGATGCGGAGAATACGTCAGTCGATATTTCAGTCAATTTAATTTCATCTCTATCGTAGAATATTATTATTTTCGAATTCGAAAGATGAGAAAGAAGTATATATCTGCGCGTCGCGATAGGAAGTTACCGACGTAGTCTCGAAGTTGTTACGAACAAGGGAATAGGGGAAGGGGAAGGGGAAGTGGGAGAGGTAGAATAGATATTCCTGAGTCTCTCTCTCTCTCTCTCTCTTTCTGTCCATGTAATTAATGCGGTACGATTAAGCACGAAACGACTAGGTTCCGGCGGCCTCGGTGATTGCGTTTTTGTTTTAAAAGCCCCGCGCGAGCTCAGAATGTTTAGCGCCCTGCTGGGGGCCCAATCCTACTCACTGTGGGGGGTCCCTAGCCACCCTTTACCCTTCCCAACCCTCTTTCTCTTTCCATCTCCTGACGAGACGTATAGTTCCTCTATGATCTTGACCGACTCAACGTAAACCACACGTACTCGGTTCTCTTCCTACCTCTTTCCCTCTTTCACTCTCTCTCTCTCACTCTCTCTCTCTCTCTCTCTCTATTTCTCTCTCTCTTTCTATCTTTTTTCTTTCTTTCTCTATCCGCCTCCGTTTTTCCAGCTTGTTCGTTCGTTCGTTCGTTCGATCGAACGATCGGTGATTATCCGGACGTACGCGTTAGCGTTCCAGATACGCAAACTCTATAATTTATAATCCGCTAAATAAAAGAGAGAGAGAAAGAGATAGCTCCCTTTTAACTGGTTTACAAACGTTCATTACAAACTATTATAGTTAGTACTTGTTCATTATCTTCTTTCTCCCTTTTTTATTTTTTTTTATCTTCAATACTACTACTATTATTATTATTATTATTGTTATTATTATTATTATTATTATTATTATTATTATTATTATTATTATTATTATTATTATTATTATTATTACTATATCTAATATTATAAATATGCTCGATTTAATAATGAATAATTTCTCTCGTGCTACCAATGCGAACGATCAACGCGATCTCTCAGAGAAACGAGTCGATCAGGTTGAAAAGGTTCAGAAGAAAGAAAAATAAGAGGAGGAAGAAGAAAAAGAAGAAGAAGAAGAAGAAGAAATTGCTAAGTCATTGAGTCTAACTCCTGTCTCTTTCTATCTTACTTTGCTTAATTCGAATGATATGCTAACACAACAAAAACGTATTACGGGACTAGATACCCACATCTTGTATTTTTTTGATTCTCAAAATCGAGTTGTTAGAGTGCAAGAGACAGAAACAGAGAAAAGGAGAGAGAGAGAGAGAGAGATAGACAGAGACAGAGTTATACGATACTTCTTGTTATTTTTTTCTCTTTCCTTCTTTTTTTATTTCTTTATTATTTTCTATTTTTTTTTTTTTGTTTTTGTTTTCTCACGAGACTCGTCTCCTCTTACAAATAGCTTCATCTCTGACTAGAAGCCAATTTCGAGATTCGACTGATCGAATAAGTTAAATTGCATCGGTATTATTTTGTATTGTCACGAAAACGGGGTAAACGATGCGAAAGATGCAAGAAAAAGAGAAAGAGAGAAAGAGAAAGAGAGAGAGAGGGAGGGAGAGAAAGAGAAATCTATGGAATGAAAAGTTTTCGAGTATGTTTTTATAAAACGTCGCATCTTGTTCGGTTCGTCGTTTTTTACTTATCGTAATCGTTATACGAAAAAACAAAGTATGCTACCAACGATTGTATATATTATGTGTGTGTGTGTGTGTGTGTGTGTGTGTGTATCGTTCTACTATGGTCGTCGCGAGGACACGAAAGAAAATCGACCCAACAACCGAACGGGACGATTGGTCTGTCCCTTTGCCTCCCTCGTGTACGAAGAAACAGTGAGAGTAAGAAGAGGTGGGGGAAGGGGCAGGGAGGAGCTTTGAGAAAGGGACGAAATGAGTGCTAACAGCTAAAGGAAGAGAAAAAGAGAGAGAGAGAGAGAGAGAGAGAGAGAAAGAGAGAAAGAGAGAGACACTTCCATTGAACCGATCGGAACTCGACTCTTCGAGGAACCTCCGCGATGGAATGCGTTCAAAACGAAGCAAGTACCGCCAACGAAGATATTTTCTCTTTCTCTGTCTCTCTCTCTTTCTCTCTCTCTCTCTCTCTTTCTCTCTCTGTCTCTGTCTCTGTCTCTTCTTTTTTATCCTTTTTCAAATAAACTCACGATTTCAAATCAACCGGATATCTGTCGATTTTGTCATAAAATCAATGTTTACCGTACGAAATTAATTTAATAGAAAAAAAAAAAAAAAAAAAAAGAAAAAAGGAATAATTCGATTTGTTTTCAATCGAAAATTAATATATTCCTGTTAAAAAAAAAAAAAAAAAAAAAAGAAAAGAAAAAAATTTGACGTAATTATATCAAACTATTAAAATAGATATGATTCTCTTTAAAAATGATGAAGATTTTTTTTACGTTTCTTTATCTCTTTTCCTCTTTTTTTTTTTTTTTTTTCTTTTTATATATCATTTTATCGCAAAATGTTATGCAGTTTTATGTGAAAGAATGAAAGAAAGAGTAAAAAAATATTAAAAGTATCGAATAATAAAATGAAGTATTGTTTAAGTTCTTTTTTTTTTCTTTTTTTTTTTTCAATTAGATACATTAAAATTGAAAGGACGTTGATATACGGATATAAGATATTTTTTTGGAAAACTTTCAAAGCCGATATATATCGTCTCTAAGATGGTCTATAATCTTTATTACGAAGTATTGTTAAATTCTATTTTTTTTTATTTCGATACATAGAGTACGGACGTGAATTCAAGTTGGAATCGTTAATTTAACGCGAGATCATTTCGATGTTCCAAATTAAATCTTAAATCGCATTGAATAATTCGATACTAAATATGCAAATGTTCTCTCTCTTTCTCTCTCTCTCTCTCTCTCTCTCTCTCTTTTCTATCGGTAAAAATAAAAAGGACAGATGATCGTTTGAAAAAAATTTCTTTCTCTTTCTTTTTGTTTTTTCATCGATTCGTTGAACAATGAATCTTGGATCTGGTTTGGATATTTCAAAGAGAAAGGTACAAATTTAGATAGGAGAAAAGGATGGATGGTAAGATGATGGTTGAAATAGGAGTAAGAAGAATAGAAAGAGGATAAGAGAGAGAGAGAAAAAGAGAGAGATAGCAAAGATCTTCTCTTTGCCTCGAAGCAGCCTTCCGTTCGGTCGGAAGACCGCCGGATAATGATACGCTGCCGCCTTCCTGAAAAAGGTTGAGATGCGTCACTCTAACCGGAATTCGATCTCTCGGGGGTCGTCAACGACTTCCAAGTAAAGGTATCAATCCGCCATTCTGACCCGGAATCGAAGTATACGACGCGAGTTCGTTGAAAGATTCGAATCGTTTCATGACGATTCAGTTAGCCCCTATTTTACCACCACCATCACCATCATCAGAATTAATCATCAAAGAAAAAAAAAAATGAATGGTATAATTACATTCGTTGACACATGATTTATGATAAATCATTGTTTCCTTTCTTTTCTCCTTCTTCCATTATTTTCTCATTTTATTTTATTTTATTTTATTTTATTTTATTTTATTTTTGAAACACTAACACTTACGTTCGTCCACCATTACTATCTGTGTTTCAGGTTTGGTTTCAAAATCGTCGAGCAAAATGGCGAAAACAGGAAAAAGTTGGTCCACAAGCACATCCGTATAATCCTTATCTTGGATCGGGAGCACCCCCGCCGTCCGCTGTCGTGGCACCAACATTACCGAATCCGTTTGCCCATTTGGGTAGTTTTGCTCTTCGTAAACCATTTGATGCTTTTCGTTATCCACCTTTGGGCCATGGACCTGTCCTTCCTGGAGCATATACTACTCATCCTTATCATCGAGCTCCACCTCCATTGTTACCACCGGGCATGCCATTACCATACACGTCTGCGGCATCGTTTCAAAGTCTATTGGCAAATATATCTGCCGCACAAAGACCTAAACTCGTTCGGGGTTCTACACCACCACCACCGGCACCACCACCACCTCAACCAGCACCACCGATAACTATGTCTCATCCATCGGTGGTTCCTCAAGCACCGCCTACAGCTAGCTCGCCACAAAGTTCACCGACTGGTAGCGTTGGTTTACCGGACATCGACAGGAGAACCAACAGCATTGCGTCTCTAAGATTGAAAGCACGAGAATACGAGCTCCATCTTGAAATGCTCAGGAAAAATGGTGATCTCATTAGCTGAAGATGGTGCCTTTACAATATTTACTTGTTCAACGACGACGATGACGATGATGACAACGTGAAACGATCGACGTGTGCCTCGATAATAATATTAATCAAGGAGAATCGATGACGATTATATTCACGAGTTAAATAATAATAATTTAGTGACAATGACGACGCGAGGTAGGAACGATAAAACATCGAGAGTGTCTACCGTACCCGGTAGAGAAAATAAATAAATAAATAAATGAATAAATAAATAAATAAATAAATAAATAAATAAAATAAATAAATATATATATAAAATGAAGATGTTAATGTCGTCCGACGATACGATATAATGAGGAGTTCTCTTTTGTACGAATTTTTTGATCGGTTATATAACATTTTCCCCGATAACAACGACTCAAACACCGTACGATATTTCTCATCGAACGATTTCGATGATTTTCGATGTTCCTAAAAAAAAGTAACATCTCTTGTATTTACATACGTCGTTTAAATTAAATCACAAGAATTTTCATTGGTTAATACGTTGTTGCTTTAGACTTTGCAAAACTGCTCAGAAACTCGTTTGATATATCAAAAGAGATTCATATATCAAATCTCGTGATGAGAATCGTTCATTCTTCTTTTAAATGTAATTTAAGAGTATCTTTATACCATTGCCTGAGGATTACCGAATGTCGTTCGAAGATAATCAAGGATGGTACATTTTTTTTTTTTTAATTTAAGCAAAAAAATATTTTAAGAAAAAAATATTTTTAAAGGAACAAAAAAGAGAAAAAAAGATGATTAGAGAAAAGAAAAAGTTCAAAGGAAAACTTTTCCAATTTATTAACGAAATTTAACAAAGCCAAAATACGACGTTAAATACTTTCGATTAATCCGACGAATATTTCAATCTTCATCCATAATTGTCGATTAGAAATATACGTGGTAATTCTAATTTTCTAATTTTTCATCGAGTTCTTTATGATTGAATTTTTGCGCTCGTACAATTTTCCAATTAACGTTTCTTCTTTTTTATTTCATCGAAATTTTAAAAATTCATCGGAACTCCAATTAATCATGGAATTTACATCAGAATTATTTTCAACGACTTTTGCCTTATCGTTCGATTTAGTTTATTCTGTTCTACGTTGACAACTCGTGGGATCAAGAAAAATTATTCGTTTGCATTCGTCCGAAGTCATTACTTCAAACATAATGAATTTTTATTGATTTTACGAATTGTCGCTTGCTCTTTTTGCGTAGTTCATGATATACTAATTTGAACTTAAATTAATTATGATCGATTCCAATCGAAAGATTACGACATTCTCATTGTGAAAAAAAATGTGATATCGTTGTCAATAGAATTGTCAAGAAAATCTTGACGAACCAAATGCTTTCTCCCAAAGCGATTCTCAACGCGAGGCTTCATTGGAACATTAAAGATATAAGAGATAGAATCTTCGTCGATGTTTCGTAATAACGAAAGAAAGACAAAAAAGAAATAATAATAAACAAAAAAAATTTTCTTTTTTAATTATAAAAAAAAAAGAAAAAGAAACGAGAACAAAAAATTAAAGGAAAATAATTAATTCGAAAGAAAGAAAGAAATAAATATTATATATATATATATATATATATATATATATTATATATTAAATATTATACAATATACATATATATATATATTTTTTTTGATCATTAGAAAAAAAAAAAAGATCGACAATCATCCGTCCGCAAAAATTCTCGACACGATGATTCTACGATGTAAAAAGCGTTTGCATTTTATTAATTTTTTTTTTCTATTTTTTTTCTCTTTCTCTCTCTCTCTCTCTCTCTCTCTCTCTACACGAGGTAAAAATAAAAGCAAAACGACAGATTTACTTAAAACTTATTTCTCCGGGGGAAAAGAAAAGAAAATTTTCGTCGGTCATCGTCATCGAGAAATTTCGCTCTGTTTCTTCTTTTTTTTTCTCTCTCTCTCTCTTTTTTCTTATTATTTTTCGTTTCTTATTTCTCTCTTTCTCTTTTTTTTTTCTTTTTGTATCTCTTTTATTTTTCTCGTTAGCTCGATCAAACGTAACACGAACGTTGCAAACGCGCGCAATTTTGAAATATCCATTATGACATTTACGACACGCTAGAGTTAGGAGTCGTTTTTAAATGGAAAAATAAAAGAAAAAAAAAAAAAAAGAATAAAAAAATGCAAAAGAAATCAATAATAATATTTATATACCACACACGTTGTTTATATATACATACATACATACATATACATATATATATATACATATATATATATGTGTATATATATATATATATATATATATACATAGTACATACTAATGTAAGTAGTACTCTCTCTTTACGAATTGTCATAAGACACGATAGATTTTTACGATTAATCTAATCGTTTCTTTATTCTTTTCTGGTATTCCTTTTTTTTTTTTTTATCATCCCCCTTAGTTCAACATAAACTACTTTGTAAATAGTTTAACAAGATTAATGTATGTATTATTTTTAACGAAGCAAATTGCAATTGCTTAAAATTACGAACGAAAGCATTCACACGCAATTATAAAAGGTGAATGGTCTTTTTATTAGATCACTTCTATTCAAAAATTCTACGAACATTGTTTGTTGTCATTGCGAAATATTTTTCTCCTTTGTTTCTCTTTTTTTTTTTTTTTTTTGTTTTGTTTCAGTTTATCTTAATTTTTTTCTTTTTCCTTTTACTCTCATCTACTTTTCCAATCATATTTTTCATCGAAACATTACGTCGATGTGTGTAAATTGTACTTAAACCCTATTAAACCTGTCTATCCTCTCTTTGCAGTGAATAAAATGACAACGAATCACGAGAATGGTAGTGTCATTTCATTTAACCTTATACCAATTAAATATAAAGTATAATAAATTATATTAAATATTATAAAATATAATAAAATATATTAAATATAATAAATTTAAATAAATATAAAACATTTTAAATATTCGAAGAATAATTTTTATTTATTTATTTTTTCTCTCTCTCTCTCTCTCTCTCTCTCTCTCTCTCTCTCTCTATTTCTTTCTTTCCAAAAACCACGAAATGTCAATTGACGAGAAATAATTAATTTGAAAAAATAAGAAACGAATACGTCTAACTTTCGATTTGTTTAATACGTCTAACATACGATCTAATGAAATTCTACAAAAACTACATATAATAATAAAAAAAATTTCTCTTTTTACGCCCAAGAATAGCAACGAAGAGTTAACTAACTATAATGTTTAGAAACGATATATCTTTGTTTCCTGCAAGAAAATTAACAAAAATTACGATTCAACGAAATCTCGAATCGTTAACGATGCATTCAATGTTGGTAGTATGATATTAAACAATTTATATAACACCCTATAGAATGAATTTTTATTCGGAAGATATTTGACATAAATAAAAAAAAAAGAAAAAAAAAGAAGAAAATAAAACTCGGCATCTCGATTTCTCAAAAGACGCGTTTAATAAAATTTAATAAAAAAAAAGAAAAAAAAAAAAAAAGAAAAAAAAGAAAAGATAAAAAGAATTCTCCCTTCCGACAATAGATAAGAACTGACTCTAATGATGACTCCATAATATTTATAAATAATATACCTCGTTATCACGAAAGAAAAAGCTTCGGTTTGAATTAAAAAGATTTTAGTCTTTTGCGTAGGAGGTGCCCTTGTCATTAATGTCATTTGGTAACCTTGTATAGGTCGCTTATTGTTATGGTCGTTTCGTCGGACCTCTCTCTCTCTCTCTATGTGTGTGTGTGTGTGTGCGCGCGCGCGTGTGTCAGCTAATTAGCAATATTGAAAGAGTAGGGAAAAAGAGAGAAAAATAAAAAGAGAAAGAGAGAGAGAGAGAGACAGAAAGAGAGAGAAAAAGAAGGAGAGTTAAGATACTTGTAATTTAGGCTTACCCTTTCGTAACGATACGTGATCAACTATTGGATAAATCGATTAAAAAGACTCTAAAGCTGGACAAATCGGTTATCCAATGAAAAGTGACACACGAGTTAAGTGCATTACGATGTTATTGGATAAAAATGCAATGTATCGGATTACCCGTCACGACAAGCTAATGTTAAATAATATCAGAGAAAGGAAAAGTCAGCTTAGTTTCTAATGAAATGCGTGTATATTTAATGGCAGACGTCTTTACTTATGTCCTACGTGAGTTACATAAATATCTACATATGTATAATTTTTATACATACACACACACACACACATATATATATGTACATATAAATAAATTTATAGATTCAATATAGACGTATGTAGGTATTACGTTTTAGTACACGTCTATATAGGTATTCATTCGAAACAAATTGAAATCGATTAACGTAATTTTGCGAGAAAATTATAATAATGACTATAGCACGAAGATCAGCCTTTATAAAATCTTTATTGACTAACGTAATAATATTGCGAGAAAATTATAATAACTATAGTATTAGAGGACGTTGTAAAATCGTTTACGAAGATAATATCGTCGGATATTTCGTAACGTGTATGCGGGTGGGTATATTTAATACGAAATTTTATGCGATCTAGGATACACAATACGATATAATTCGTCAAGATTTTTCTTATAAATCGTATTTGAAGAAAGTGATAGAAAAGAAAAGAACAAAAAAAAAAAGAAAACAAAAAAAAAAATTTTTCCGAAGTGTTAAAACAGTTGACATTTCTTATAATTCAACGTTTCTCGAGGAGAAACGGTCGAATGAATTTTCAAATGGATCGTGATAAATCAGCTGCTATTAAACTGGTTCTTGAAGTGAATTTAATCGAACGATTGATATATGATATACATGTATAAAGACACACACACACACACATATATATATATATATTTGATGTGTTTCAAAATAAATAAAAATGTCCGTATGGATATATACATATATAATCGATTTCGAATTATTAAAGATGTTATAGAAGACATTATTATTAAATATATTAATAGTTGAATGTTTATATATATATATATATATATATATATATATATATATATACGTATATAATGTATATATATTATATATATATTCTGGATGATTCTATTTTAATATAAGAAGAAGAAAAAAGAAGAGTAAAAAAAAAAAAGGAAAAAAAAACAAGAAAAAAAGAAGAAAAAGAAAGTTAACTCAACGAAAGAGGGGGGAAAAAAATACGAGGCAGAAAGTAGAAAAATGTAAATGGTAGTGGTAGTATTAACTACAGGAAAGAAAATAAAAGAATAAAAGAAGATATAGCAAAAAAAAGGGACAGTCCGAGAGAGAGAGAAAGAGAGAGAGAGAGAGACAGAGAGAGGAGAGTAGAGAGAGAAAGAGAGAGAGAGAGAGAGAGAAGGAGAGTAGAAAGAGAGAGAAGGAGAGTAGAGAGAGAGAGAGAGAGAGAGGCTGTGGATGGCAGTGCCGGGACTCCAGAGATGAAGGATGTACGGCGTGACGGTCTAATTGAGGCCTTCTTGATTGCATTTACACCGCTGCACGGCCTCCCGTATACCCAGTGGTGTATCCCAGCATCCACCTTCTACAATGGATCCACGTCGTATCTGGCGAAGGCTGCCGCCACTTCGACTCTCTTTCTCTTTCTTCTACTATCTCGTTCTTTTTTTTTCTTCCTCCTTCTCCTCCTCCTCCTCCTCCTCCTCCTCCTCTACGACTTCTCATTACGACGTCCTTCTCAAAGTAAATCTCTCTTCCTCTCTCTCGCGCGCGCGGGCGCGCGCGCACGCTTCTTATCTCACTTCATCCTTCCATGCTTATAAACTCTATACATTCTTTCTCCTTTTTTTTCCCTTTTTTGTCGAGATTTTTGAAAGATCATTTCTATATACCTTTCTATTTTTCATTTCCTTTGTCTTTTATTCTTTCTCTTTTTCCAAATCTTTCGAAGTTTCTAAAATTAAAAATTATAAAAAAAAGAAAAAAAAACTAATCCGTACACACACATAAAATATATATGTTTGTGTCTATGTGTGTATGTACGTGTGTGTTTATACATATATATATATATATATATATATGTATGCACGTATAAACGGTGAGAAGAAAAATAATTAATACGTCTAAATATATATATATATATGTATACATTTGCAGAATTCGATTTAATTCGATAATGAATTCAATTAGTTATAAAATAAATTTAATTACAAATTACAAAGATATCGTTGCAGTTGGAACGTTTCCTTTGTTTGTTAGGCAATTACATCGATATAAAAAGTTATCGCAGTTTGACCTGTAGGAAGACGTAACGAACGAGCAATAAAGACGAAGTTATGAAAACGAAAGAAGAAAACGATGCGTTTATCGTCGAAGGAAGATCCCATTTGGGGTCTTTTCGATCTCTCTTCTCTTGGTACTCTTACGATATGGGGGATGAGGATGGAGATGAGGAATGGGACCGGGGGTAGGGTGGGGTAAGGTGGGATATGACCACTTCTTCACTCCCCTCTTCTTCGTAATATCAGCAAACACCAACGTCACAACCACCACCATTACTACCACT